GTCAGTGTGATGAATGCACAAATTGAAGTGTGCCTTCCTGTGTACACCCAGCATCACAGAAAGAAGCCACAACCAATGGCTGAGGGTTGGGGCAATCGGATATTTGTGTTTAGAACCCCTCTCAGACACTCCTTACAAAGTGAAAACATCTCTTTTAACTTTCCCTTTCTCTCAAATTTCTCTTTTCACATACTGATGTATGGCTGGAATTCAAAGGAAAATTACACTGTGATCAAAACTACATATCTAAAGCAGAACTGTCAGTTACTATTATCTATTCTTGCACACCCATGGGACATGTTATTTTAAGTTGATGTTGCATTCAATTAAGTCCTTATGTTGGCTACAACACAAATCACATCATCTAATTTTCCAATCTGATCCATCAAATCACTGACATAGCACCCCAAACAAATGGTTGTGTTGTGCCTATATAAACTCACTGAAGGCAAAGGAACTAGTCTATTCAGTAGCGTATTTTTTACATAAGTGAACTCTTCCAGGTTGGAAAATTTATCAGTGAAAACATATTAAATAAGCAATACAGAAATGGCACCGAGAGTGCTTAGCAGCATGATTTCTGGAGCCTTAGATCTAAGTTCAGATCTCAACTTTGCCTCTTCCAGGCTCTGTAATCTTAGGCAAGTTACTTAATTTTTCCAAGCATTAGTCTCCTCATCTGTAAAATGAAAGTAACAAAGTACCTGCTTCCTATTGTTGTGAAGATTAAATGAGATAATATATACAAAGCATTCACCACAGTGGCCAGCACGCAGTATACATTTGAAAAATGGCAACCACAGAGACAGGTAAGAGTATGGTTTTGGGGGAGGAGGTTGCAGTGAACTGAGATCTCACCATTGCACTCCAGCCTGGGCAATAAGAGCGAAACTCCATCTCAAAATAAAATAAAATAAAATAGTACAGTTTTGTAGGCAACACTGTGGAGTCGCTCTGGCATAAGGTTCCCCTGGGTACCCCTCATCATCGTGACAGTGCTTTGGAAAAGAATGTCACAGCAATACGAGCCCATGAGGGCCACATAGAAAGTGGTTAGGTTCTGCATAATGCTGGGGCCACACTGCTGGACTGCAAACCAGCTCTCCCACTTATTAACTGTGTGACTTTGGACAAGGTCCTTTGCCTCTCTGTACCTCAATCTCCTTATCTGTTAAGTAAGGATAATAATTGTCCCCATTTTGTTGAGTTGTCATAAGTATGCTGTATAAATGCATTAAGGCATGAAATGCTTGGAACTCTTCCTGCTTCAGGGTAAACACCACATGCATTAGCTATTACAATGATGAATCAGTAGGTGCAAATCGCTTGAGATTATTTCATCCTGCCTAGAAGACAAGGTAGATGCAGGAAAGAACTTCTGGGCCAGGACCCTGACTCTCCTGCTCTCTTCCACTTCTACCACAACTTTCTTCAGCCCTTTCCTTTCCTGTCCCTGATGCTTGCCCTTCCCTTTCCCATCACCCTGATTCCTCTGCTTTCTCCCAGCCTCAAAGGACATCCAGATCCCTCAGCCACTTTGAGTCAGTGCCGCTGCACCAAGTGCTTGTGAGCTGGGTTGTCCTGGCAACAACAGCTTGCTCCATAAACCTCTAGGAACGAGGCTGGTTTGAGACATGACTTGGAGGAGTCTAGGTTATGCAGAGCATATAATTTGCTCCTCTCTCATTTTTTTCCAGTTATGATGATGAACATATCTAATTCAGTAGCAAGTATTCGAGGACCTTCCAAACATGTGTATTGGCCAGAAAGAAACCTCCTAAACAGAGAGAAAGGGAGGCTGAGGTTATTAAGCCCAATCTTGCCCACAAAACAATTTGTTCATGCCTCACTCTGGCTCTGGTGAGTTCATCTGACCTTTCTTCTGTGGGCCAGGGTAAGCTGCCTTTCAGAATGCTGCCTGGGATTAATGAGATGGTAGGCTTTGCTGTTAGGCAGGCCTGGGTTTGAATCCTAGGTCATCCTCTTGCCACATGTTTGACTGTGGGCGAGTCACTTACTCTCTGTGAGCCTCAGTTTTCTTGTCTGTAAGATGAGGATCACAGAGGGTGGTTAGGATTAAATGAAGTCATGTTTGTATAGCAGCTTGCTACTCCATGGTTGGCTAGAAGGGCTCTTTTTTAAAACAAAAAAAGTAAATTGAAAGAGTCTGAGGCAAAGAGACATGGGTATTACTTGGAATGAAAAAGCTGGAAAATGACAGAATCGTGTATTTTCCCTCCCCCTCTTAACCACTGTCTTTATTTGGAGATCTTATTCAGGAGGCAAAAGAGGAAACCTGGATTGTGAAATGTCAACAGTTATCTTGCACAGAAGAAAAGCAGAAACATTTTACAGTTAACGCTATTGACCCTAAGATTTCTAACTTGACAAAATTCCTGCACCAGCATTTCCTAATGCTATATTTTTTCCACCCAAAACATCTTATCTGCAATAAAATTATTTCATAAAACAAGACACAGGAAAAAGATGTTCTCTGTTACTACCCAGGTATCTTGAACTGCATAAGAGAAAAAGGTGAATGAAGGAATATTCGCTATTATTATTTTTCATGCTTTAACATCAAAAACCATAGCCAAGGCTTCTAAGAGCCTTTTCAAAGATTTTTATGGCCCTTCCTTCATAATTAATTTGGCAACCAACCCAGGAACCAGTACATGACCCCATTAACATCTAGGAGGGGCCCCACCACCTACTGAAGTGTATACTGATGCTGATACAAATAATCAGTGTCTCATGCAGCTTGTGTACACCAATTATGTGTCAGATTCCTGACATATACAGTTTTTCACCCACACATGAGGTAACTGAAGGAAACTTAATGTCTACAGAAGTTAAGAACTTCAATATCTTCTTGGGAAATTCTGTCTTTAGGTTTAGTTCTACAGCTGACAAAGGGAATATTTCTGAACCAAACATTTCTTAAAAATATCAAATGAGATGCTGGGGGCTACGTAAGAGTGGAGGGTTAGAGAAGGGAGAGGATCAGAAAAAATAACTATTGGATACTAAGCTTAGTGCTTGGGTAACAAAATAATCTGTACAACAAATGCCTGTCACAGGAGTTTACCTATATAACAAGCCTGCACAGATACCCCTGAACCTAAAATAAAAGTTTTAGAATAAAAAAAGAGACTCTTAATGCATTATATCAGAGAGTGTTCAAAAGGTTCCAGAGAAAAATGCAGTAATTATGGAAGATGTAACTTGTAAACATGAAAATTATGGAAGATATAAATTGTAAAACTATCAATACAAAATTTCACTATTTAATTCCAGGCCCATTTTCTAGATTGGCTTTTACAATCTGAGAGAACTACTCTCACTAATTAATAACTATTTATTAATTTAAATCCATGTGCTTGACAACCCTGACTCTATCATCCCCATTTTTTAGTGAGACAGCTTCACTTATTAGAAATTTAGTCTTCATATTTTTGTAATTTAGGGAGATTAAAATATGAGCATACAAACTTTATAACAGCAATTTTCATTGCAAGATGTTTTTAATTGTTTAACAAACAAACAAAAACTTGCAGAAATGTTTCCATTCACTTGCTCTTCTCAGGATACTAGCACAAGTGATCAGGAAAGGAGTAAGTCAACATGAATTATTACTAGGTCTCACCAATTATTATTGGTGCCTATTGCAAGGAATCTTTTACATCTCTATGTATATGTGTGTCTTTTCCAAAGGATGTTTCAAAGTACAGCTGGCTAGAGAGATTAGCAGCTGAGGACCCACTTATTCTCCAGTACCAACTCAGCTCTCACCATCACAAATACACCACAAATCCTAAGTTGGAATAAATTTGCTTTAAGAAAATGCTAGAGTAATGAACAAAGTTCAGTGCCACGAATCAGAAACCTAAGCATCAGAGGAGTGGCTGGTCACAACTGTCATAGCCATGTGACTTGGGGCAATCGCCAAGCCTTCAGGGTCTGTCTCCTCTTCTGCAAATGAAGGAACTAGGCCAGATGACCTAGGGTCCCTCCAGCCTGAAGTCAAAATGGAAGCAGGCAGCAATGTGTGCTATTTAACCCCCCTCACAGGTAGAACATTGTAGGCTAAAACATGAAACAAATGAATAGCCTAAAATAGACTCACACATTCGCTGTTCATTCAATTAAAAAGCTAAGCACCTGAAGGAAGGCACTACATTCAGCTCATTTCTGAAACAATCCACTCATTAAGGTTAGTGTGAGCATACCTATGTACATAGGCGTTGCCCACAGGACGCCAAGTCTATGTGTGAATTCACATCCCAGGGAGCTTTCACAACCACACAGCACACACTCAGCATCTGAAGAAAGACCAACACTAAGAAAATTCAATTTTCCTGATGCATGCCAGGGAGGCTAAGCCTTTTTCAGTACACTAATCTTTAAAATGGTGCATCTACCACCTCGATGCCACATTATGCAAATTTACTAAGAATTGTGAGTGAAGAGATTTCAGCCCAATTTTAAAAAGCTAAAGATTTTTTTACCCGTCAATTCCAAGAAGACAGCCCAATAAACAAGCTATAATTACTCTATCATTATATTAACTCTTTAATCACTTTTTCTCCCTTCCCTCCCAAAAAAAGAACTGAGGGGAAGGGAGATTTCAATAAAAAATGGATAGTCTCTCCAAGTAACCTCTATAGAGGAGGAGTATATCTTCTGACAGAACACATCTGTGTGCCTCTTAAAAAGGATATTCTAAATCTGGAGGGAGTTAGCTTAGACCCCCACCTTCCAGGCCCTGCCACCTGGAATTCTCAGACCCATCAAATCAAACTGGAAGGAAGCCGGGGCTGGATGAGTATCCCCACTCCCCTAACCCCACTCCAACATTCTATGTGCTACCATGCTCCCCTATTTCAACCCAACTGATTGAGCAGGAAACACTCCTAAATGAGCAGGTAGCCCGTGGAGCTGGACCCAAGCCTCCCCAGTCCGTGTCCACTGACACCCTGGTAAGTGGCACCTCTGCTCACCCTCTTCACAAGGTAGCCCTCTCTGATCCGCTTTGGTTCCATGCTGGCTGGACAGGCAGATGCAAAGGTCACTCTCCGGCACCTCCTCTCAGCAACTGGGCTTCCTCTGCATACTGAGGTGGCTGTGGGCTGCCTTTTCTACAGTGGGTCGCTTTCACAATTTCCCTTCTGCTGGCGGTCGCATGATCACATCCTCTTCCCCTCACTGGGGTGGAAGATCAGAATAAGGAACTGCAGAGTAAACTACCCATTCCTTGCTAATCCTGGAGACTTATTAAAACCACAGTTGGGTTGAATATTTACCTAAGGGAAATTCTTAGTACTATACAGAAACTCACTCTTTTAAAGAGAAAAAGAAGTGATGAAAGGAAGAGGAAGATGAATAAGAAAAACTTGTTGGTGGAAATTGTCCTGATTAGGGATTAGTCTTGAGATCCTGGAAATGCTTAATAAAAATGCCAAGAAATTCAGAACCATCTGGTTAGCATAACAAAGTTAACTACTAAATGAATGCCTACTTCTCTCTATGCCAAGTCCTGTATCAAGTGTTTCTCAGCCTATTTATTTAAAACTAAATTAGTCTGCACATAGGCCAGGCATGGTAGCTCACGCCTGTATTCCCAGCACTTTGGGAGGCCAAGGCGGATGGATCACTTGGAATCAGGAGTTCAAGACCAGCCTGGCCAACATGGTGAAACCTTGTCTCTACTAAAAATATAAAAATTAGCTGGGCGTGGTGGTGTGCGCCTGTAGTCCCAGCTACTCGGGAGGCTGAGGCAGGAGAATCACTTGAACCTGGGAGGCAGAGGTTGCAGTGAGCCGAGATCGTGCCACTGCACTCCAGCTTGGGCGACAGAGCAAGACTCCATCTCAAAACAAACAACAACAAAAATGAGTCCACACGTGAAACCCATAGGGAAAGTATATTATTTTCCTTATCTTAGAGATAAGGAAACACAGGCACAGAGAAGAAAAGTTGTCTCAAGTTGACGCTGCAGGTCACAGGGGAAAGCAGAAGACCAGGGAGGGACATGCTAGGGTGCCACTGCCTCGCATCAGGCATGTGAACAGGTGTTCCACATTGACTGCTGATCCCACAATCAGCCTGTAAAAAGGAGTCCGTCATCAAACAGGTTTTTGAGAAACTGTACATAATAGTCCCAGGTTGGCAACTCCTCTAAACGATGAACAAATTAAAGACCCTCGCCCCGCCAAAGTACTACAGCAAAGAATCCTATAATGGTGTTTCCCAAACTGACTTGGCTGTAGAATTCTTTTCTCTACAATTTATATTAACATTTTTTTGTCATGGATTGGATTAGATCTCCCAAAAAAGAAGTCCTAACCCTTAGCACTTCAGAATGCGTCCTTGTTTGGAAACAGGGTCATTGTAGATATAATTAGTTAAGATGAGGTCATACTGAAGCAAGTGGGCCCTTAATCCAATGTGACTGGTGTCCTTATAAGAAAAGGGCACACAGAAAACAGCCATGTGACAACAGAGTGATGCATTTACAAGCCAAGGAACGCCAAGGATGGCCGGCAACCCCCAGAAGCTGGAAGAGGCACGCAACAATTCTCCCCTAGAGCTGCTATAGAGAACATGGTGCTCCCGACACCTTGATTTCAGACTTACGGCCTCCAGAACTGTGAGACAATAAATTTCCATTGTTTTAAGCCACCAGTTTGTGGTAGTTTGTTATGGCAGCCCCAGGAAACCAATACAATCCTGAAAAACCAATATTCCATAGAATAAACTTTGAGACACGTTAATCTGGCCCTGTGAAAATGAGCAAATTCATTAATTACTTTGTGCCTCAGTTTTCTCATCTGTAAAATGGGGATAATAACACTTATCCAATGAGGTCATTCTGAAGATTAAATAAGATACACATGGAAGTATTTAGAAGAGTGTCTGAAACATAACTAGTATCCATAAATATGAGTTACTCCTCATCTTCAAGGCAAATCTCCGTTATCCTAGAGCTGATCCTTTTCAATGATAACTTCAACAGAGATGATAAAAGCAATCGTAGGGCTAGAATTTCCTCATTACACCCGTCAGTGTTCTTTCACTGCAATCAACAGATAACAACTCTGGCTAATAGAGGCGAATAGGAATTTACTAGAAGAGAATGGGGTGGCCCACAGACTGAAGGAAAAATGAAGACTGGGGTCTTTGAAAGGACAGGAATCAGGGCAGTTGTAGCGTTCCAGGAAGCAAGACACCAAGATGAAAGAACGCCAGTGGTTTTCAGACTCTGCAGTAGTCTCCAGGGATCAGGCCTCTGATTGGCCTAACTCAGCTTCTCTCTTGGGTACCTGGAGGGGGAACATGTGAACCGACAGCCCTCGCAAGACCATGCTCAATGAGGGAAGGGAGGGTGTCCCCTAAAGTAAAACCAAGATGCTATTAACAATAGACGAGTGATGGCCCCGAGAAAGGCAAAACTGACAGACATCCACGAGGGCATCTGAGGAGCCAGGAAAGTTAGGGGAAAGAAGTTCTGTTCTTGGGGTTTTCTGAGAGCTTCCTGATTCCCTCTCCTCTTCCCTCCAGCTGTGTTTCCAGCCAACAGTCACTGCCCCTGTATTTCTCACTTTTCATTTTATGCTAATATCCATTACATAAAATCGTTGATGGTTTCTTATCAGTTTCTCATCGCACCAAAATTAATTAGAAATTATTATAAAGTGTTGAGGGCTGAGAGTAGAGGGATCAACATTTGATGTCACCTGAGCAAAACAGGAACAAATAAAAGGGTAATGTTCTGTATCTGCACTCAAACAAGTATTTTGCTACGTCTGTACAGTCAATGGAAACCACTCATAGATTTACCAAGTCTGATTTCATAGTTAAACGTATCTCCCTTTGTTTAACTGACCAAGTGACTTCTAATTTAGAATGTCTTCACCGTCTGTCCCAGCATGATCGGAAGGCTTTAAAGAACCCTCACTTAGAAACCTCATAGTGTTTTTGGATGCTTATTGTGTAAAAGCACCCCTGCGTTCCGAATAATTCATTTCAAGAAACGTTGTATTAAGTCCTTACTATGTGCCAGGCGCCTGAATAGGTGCAGGGGTAAAAATGTCTTGCCACCAAGGAACCTCCCGCATTTGTGAATCTGCTGAACGTCACCACTGATGGATTAGATGATGCTGCCTTTGCCCCTTCCCCGCCTGCCACGTGTCATCGCGCCTGCTTAGCGACACCTAGTGGTCAATAAAGAGAACTATCTGAATCAATGACGCCATTTAGGACTTGCTCTCAATAGAGTTTGAGCAAGTTTTCTCCTGCTGTGTCAGATCCCTCTCCCAGATCAGATCATTAGAACCTCTTCCAATATCTTATGTATGTGTGTCTAGAATGACTTTTTTTTTTTTTTTTTTGAGACAGAGTCTTGCTCTGTCGTCCAGGCTGGAGTGCCGTGGCCCCGATCTCAGCTCACTGCAACCTCCCCCTCCCAGGTTCAAGTGATCCTCCCACCTCAGCCTCCCGAGTAGCTGGAATTACAGGGACATGCCACCATGCACGGCTATTTTTGTATTTTTAGTAGAGTTTCACCATGTTGGCCAGGCTGGTCTTGAACTCCTGACCTCAGGTGATCTGCCTGCCTCTGCCTCCCAAAGTTCTGGGATTACATGTGTGAGCCACCACACCCAGCCTAGAATGACTTTTTCAGATCTCTTTCTGTACACATTTGATCAATAACCTTGGAAACATTATTCTTGTAGTACATTTTATTGCTGTAAGGGAAAGTTAAGACTTCTGAATAAGCAAAAATGATTACTTAGCATCTCCAATGGAAAACTGTGCATTCTTTACAGCACACCTTTCTAAGTTATTTGTTTCTATGGAGTCTGTGTCTTTTCTTGTCTTGGAGTTATTTTAGAACTCTGTAGATTGTGGATAAATACGAATAATTCTTGTCTATAAACATGCAAATAAATTCTGACTGATGGAAGTTCAGTAGACTCCACCTCACCCCACACCCTCGCTCCACCCCACCTCCCATGGAAAAAGTCAATTTTGTGTCCGCTGGTAAATGAATTTCAACGTTGCTTTATATAAATTGGCCTTTGACCTTTCCTTTGAACCGGTTGTGACCTCTGGCTAATTTCCCCTTTAATTCATGAGTTAAATAAAATTTTTGACATGTTTTCATTCTATTATATGTAAGAGTCATAGTTTTATCTTTTTAAAAGTTATTCTTTAGCATTGGTAATTCAAAAGAGACATTAAATTTAGCTGAGAAATATCAGACCACCTCTAGAGCTAAATATAAATTAAGTAAAAGGTGTCAAAACCTGTGAGAAGAGTCTGAGATGTTACCCTACTTGTAAGCTAACAAGTCAGCCTGCCTGTTTCAGGGATGCTCACAGAAGACACAAGACTTCTGGGGTTTGGGGTAAGACAAAGGACTTTGCTACTCACAGCACAGTAAACAGAATGAGCTCCATATTGGTCTTGATGCTTGTTGGCCCTAAGTCTACCAAGGACAAAGTGGAGCAGCCTAGATGGATGCTGCACATACGGAGGGTTTGCATCATAACTGAGGACCCAGAGCTTAGGGAACATGAATCTTTTGTAATGCGCTGCAAGCAAACCTGCCCAAACTTTGTCTCAGAGGCAGACCGTATCTTTATTATACTGGACAGTAAGTGAATCTGCCCTTTACTCTGGAAGGAGACAACCTCTATCTTCAAAGCTGTTGTTCACTGTACAAGCATCCATAAAATAGAGTGCCTCTGCTTGCAAGTTGTATATATACACAAAAGACCCATGGAGAACTTTCTCCCAACAAAAAGAAACCATTAAGTTGTCTAATTCACTTAAATATATTAGAGAATATCTAGTTGGTGCCCAATGGGCTTCCAGTTCAAGAGAGGGAGCTGAGCCCACAGACTGAGTAATCCCCTTTCAACAGATACACAAATTCATATGGAAATGATTTAAGAATATATAAAAGTGTGAACATATACATACCCACTTGCTCAAAAGAAAGCACTTTCACACATACATTTCCTTGCTCTGTTAGCGGAGAAGGCCTAGAAGCAACAACAGCCTGGTAGTGTCAAGCACATCTAGCTCCCAGATCTTGATTACTAATACGATTCTCCAATAAAAGGAATGAGAGGTCCTTGGAGAAATGGATGGCTCTAAGATTTCAGCAGGAAATGTAAAAGATGACCCTGAAGCATCCTGCAGTACCAGAAAGTAAGAAAGTGCTAAAAATGTTTAGCTAAAAACACAAAAGACTGAAACCATGATGGTGATCAAAGGGACCCAAGAGCCAACTGAATGAACTCCTAGTGGCCAAAGCTAGAAAATTTGGAGCAAGAAAATAAAGAAAATAGTATTGGATTATAGCCAAAGTCTAAAAATAAATAAATTTATGATTGAGTAAATAAATAAGAGAGAATACACGAATCTATTCCAAGATTCCAAGAATTCCAAATAAGTTATGTAGATTTTCCACACTCAAAGAGGTGGAGCATGAATCTTCGCTCCTTAACTATAGGCTGTGTGTAGTGACTTTTTAAAAAGTATGGTACAGAAAGGAGAAAAAAGGAGTAACTTTATGGTGGAGAAACATGATAAATGCAACCTTAGCCATAGCCAGGTGATCAAGGTTAACATCATGGTCATAAATCAGATTGTAGTATATACCCTTGGTATCTAATCATGAGAAAAACACTAAACCAAACCTCAATTGAGTGATAGTCTATGAAAGACCTGACTAGTGCCCCTTAAGACTGTCAAGGTCATCAAAACCAAGGGAAGTCTGAGAAGCTGTCACTCCCAAGAGGAGCGTAAGGAGACATGCCAACTAAATGTCATATAATATCTACATGGGATCCCAGAACAGAAAAAGGACATTAGGGGGAAACTAAGTATATCTAAAGAAAGTATGAACTTTCACCAGAAGTTGGGAGTTCAAGACCAGCCTGACCAACATGGAGAAACCCCGTCTTTACTAAAAATA